GATGCTGCTTGGCCTGCTGTGTTCATCCAGCCTTGCACCTTGTTGTCACAGATTAGTACTTCCTGCTTTTAAAAGGTTTGAGAACAAGAAGGGGCAGATTTGAAGTAATTGGTAAAAGAAGGAAAAACAAGATTAAAAAAAAAATTCATGCAGCAAATAATTAGGGTCTGGAACCTACTGTCTGAGAGTGTGGGTGAGGCAAGTTCAATCGAGTGGTTAGGGTGTGGAACGTACTGTCTGAGAGTGTGGGGAAGGCAGGTTCACTCAACACTTTCAAAACAGAAGTAGACTTGCCTGAAAAGGAAGAATGCACGGGGTTACAGGAAGAAGGCAGGAGAATGGCACTAAGTGAACTGTTCATTTGGAGAGTTGGTGCAGACGTGATGTGTTAAATGAACTCTCTCTGTGCTGTAACAGTTCTGTGTTTCTGAGAACTAGCCTGTGGAAAGTTTCCATGCCAATTTCCAAAGGATACGTCAGCTTGACATGGAAAGTCACTTCAAAGCCGGAAGAGCTCCATAATGATTTTCCCCATCGGACTCAAGTTTAAGTTTGGTATTATCACACCATCTACACACTTTACTCTTCAATCCCCTTGTAAATACATAGTTTAATGTAAGAAAAATTTTGTGGCTTAATATTTTATCGACTTGGGAAAGAATCATAAAAATCTTTAATTCAATGTTGAAAATTCAACTTTAAAAAAATCTTTAGTAAATTTAAAAGAAACATAAAAAGTTTTTACAGCACAGAGAAGTCTAAAATAAAACAAAGAACTGCAGATGTTGGAGAAACTCAATAGGTCTGACAGCATCTATGAAGAAACAACAGCATTAATGTTTTGAGTCCAGGGACCCTTCTTCGGACTGGACTTGAAACGTTAACTCTGTTTTCTTTTCACAAATGCTACCAGACCTGTTGAGTTTCTCCAGCAATTTCTGTTTTTGTTTGTTACAGAGAAAGGCTAGTCCGCCTATCAGCTTTGTGCTGACCAAAAACAAAAGAGATATCCATCCAAATCCACCTTCCAGCAGTCTCTTGCCTGTTTATTGATAGAACTGGGGGTCAGTTAACTGAATGGCTAGCTTGCTTTGAAGATTAATACCAACTGCATGGGTTCAATTCCTGAACTAGCTGAGGTTATCATGAAGGACTGTCCTTCTCAATCTACCCCCTTACCTGAAGCATGGTGACCCTTAAGTTAAACCATCACCAGTCAACCCTCCTTAATGAGAGAGCAGCCCTCTGGGATATGGCTTCTTTGTTAATTAATAGACTATCGAGTGCATACACAAATGTTGTTTTTCACAAAAGCAATTTAGATTTCTGTGTTTTTCAATCCTTCAGGCAGTCAGTTCCAGACCCTCAGCACCTCAAGTCATTTAATTCTGAAAAGGTCGGTCACTCAGGAAGATATGGAGATAGGAAGCTGGGTCTACTTGTGGAAACTGTGTGAAATGAATGTTTTAATAAGTCTGTAACATGCATGGTCACTAGCACAGAAAATCTGGCAATTCTTCAAACATGTAAAATGCCTTTGGTGGCTTTGAGCCAATAATAAGAAATCTCAGTAGTTGCATCCTTATTACCATAGGAGCAGCATTAGATCATTGGATTTCTCCTGTCTACTCCACCATTCACTTACAATCTTCTCTAACATAAGCTTCCACATCCTCAACCGCTACCATCCAGAACAGCATATGTATGGAAACACCGCTCACTGCAAGATTTCCCCCATCCCCGAAGCTGACTTGGAAATGTTACGCCATTCCTTCAGGGTCATTGTGTCAAAGTTCTGGGACTCCCTCCCTAACAACATTGTGGGCACATGGACTGGAGCAGCTCACCACCACCTTCTCAAGCGCAACTAGAGACAGGCAATAAATGCTGGGCCCAGCCAGCAAGGCCCACATACCATGAATGAATATGAAACAAACTAGATCATAGATGCAGAGCCTATATCTCAACTCCATCCGCCTGTGGGACCC